CCCATAGATGTACATGTACAGCAAAACTCGTTTAGTACGGATATTGCGAAATTACGGATATGGCGAAGTCGTTGGATCCCCACCTAAATGAATTTAATTTATTTCTTATACGGATATTACGAATTACGGATATAGCGAAGTAATTTCATAGGTCCCAGTGACTTCATTATAACCGAGTTTTACTGTATGTACATTTAGGCATGTACAATGCGACTTCGCAGGAAAAAATTATCGAAATTGTTTTAGTTTGTTACATGTATATATTAAATTACGTGTAATTGGTAGCAAACTTTAATAATTTGAAATGCATGAACATATTCATTTTATATTGCAATTCAACAGAAGGAAACAAGATTATTATTTTCCAAGGTAGATGTGAAATCATAAAATGTTGGTAGTAAAATCATTGTCGGGGAAAGAATTATTACAGGTTAAATAAATCCTTAATATTGAAGGTTAAAATAAAGTCATTAAAATGAAAATTTATAACTCTAAAATGTTTAAGGAATCACTGTCTAGTTTTGAGGGTATGCCAGGGCATCAACAATAGTGGGAAACATGGGATAATTTGCATAACGGGCGAAGCCCGTTATGCTAAAATTATCCCATGTTTCCCACTATTGTTGATGTCCCTGGCATACCCTCAAAACTAGACAGTGATTCCTTATATTTCCATTTTTACTTGAAATAACCATCTTAAAATAAATCGAAATACCGTCTAATTGAGTAGATTTGAAATGCACAAGGCCCCATGACGTCAAATTTTACTATAAAAAATAGTCCCAAAAACACGAAACCAATTTATTGACTATTTATATTTACCGTAGTCAAATATCAACATTTATAAAATAAACAACAAAAGAATTTTAAATGATGATCAAAGTAATCTTGTTGACTTTAATTATATATGTGACCTAGATTTAGGTTGTCGGAAGCACGAACATATATAGGCACTATGTCACTTCTCCGCCGCCATATTGAATGCAATGTTGCAGTTGATGAAACGGGAGCTGGTCAGCATGGTCAGGAAACCGATTTGTATGGATGTTATAATAACAGAAGAAGTTGAGTTGCTTAAGAAGTCGGATGGTAATGACTAAGGGACGATGTCTGTATCAGATGATGGAGTACGTGCAGATCCATGTGGTAATGTCAATTTCTCCACGTGGCTGTTACGGAAGTGGAGTTCTCGGACTCGCGAGGCCTCGGTGATAGTGGACAGCGTTGCGCTAGTGACTTGCTTTCGAGCCGAAGATAATTCATTATTTATTTTGTTTGTTAAAAAGATATATCAATCAAATTACTTAGTAAACAATTAAACAAAACATCTATTTTTTCTTGAGTATATTTATACGCCAGTGATATACATGCAGGTTGACACCTGACCTTTGAATAATAGAGAAATATACATACCACAGGGTATTATCATGAAATTAACAAGATTCACTTTTGTAGTGTTTATCATAGAGAAAACAATTGGAAATGGAAATATTTACTGTAAACTTTCATTCTGTTCTCAGCTCAAAGTGCTGAATAAGCACCGGAGACTGCATTACAACATGCGGCAGCCCCATTCAGCGATTTTATAAATGTTCGACATTATGTTGTTCTCAGGATCCAAAAACTTTAAAGTCACCTCTGCACCCTATTTTCTCTTCTTTTGTAGAAAAATCATGCACAAAATAATGATAGGTTGGAATATTTTAAAAGTGTTCAAACAATATGTATTAATTTGTAACAATTTGTATTACATATAACATTTTAGCGATGTATCATGTTTGCCAGTTTCACATTCGATGTATTGTGTATACACTGTAACCTCAGCAAACGGATTATAAAAAATTATATATAAACCGCAGCGTTAACTGCCCAACTCAGTTTATACCATATAAATTGGGTAGCTATAAAGAGAGGTAATTCAGGTCAATTTTCACTGCATCGCTATTTCCTAGTCTTATGCTCCTGTTTAATTTTTCTTGCATGTGCATCACGATGAAACAGCTGGAAATTAGCAGCTTAAATTAAAAAAAAAACTATCTTTAATAACTTGTTTGTTTGACCTTTTAAGATGAACCGACTAAAATCTTTTCAAAACCTCCGAATTAGTCTTTCCGGAATTTTCTTATCCAATCAGTAATATTTTTTTAAATTTCAGAAATACCTTCAATCTTATTCAACATTGAACATTTTCGACAAAAAAAAAATCGACCCACCTACCGAGGCAATGTTTTTTTAACTGAATAGAGAGAGAGCAAACAAATTTCAATTTAAAAACGGCCTTACGGGAATTTTTTAACCATCACTGGACATCTTTAAAAATATACACTAATAATTGTGAAAAGGATAGGTCACACAGGCACTTGACAGAGAATAACTTCTTAAAGAATAAACTACATCAAACCACACCCAAGAATCTTTCTTAGCATATAAATAAAACAACATCCCTTTGTTCTGCTGAGGAGAGTTTTTCTCGATGAGGCGTTTTACGTCGCTTTTACGTTGTTGACTTTAGACGCGTCTTTTGACGTTACGTCATAATAGATATAAGGGAGGTTTTTGCTTGGCGCGTCACATATGACGAACAAATTTGTAATTTAAAAAGGCTGTTTTTAATGTAACGAAAGCACAAATCATCTGCACTCTATATACAGGTAAGCAAACAAATTTTACCTCTGGTGTTGAATGAAACAGCGTAATCGAGACATGGTGACCTAATTCTTTTCTCTACAGAGGAAACGGTTATCCGTAATTGAGCGATTGTAGTATACATGGTAGAATAGAAATAAAGTCCTTGTTGTCGTGAATGACGCAGAATAACCTCCTTGGTCTCGAAATGTTGTTTGAAATATAAAAGCCTCGGCTTTTATCTTCCAAACAACATTTCTCGACCTCGGAGGTTATTCTGCAAAATTTACGAAAACGCAGACTTTATTTCATAATAAAATAATGCATGGCTGTAGGGTCCAGGTGAGGGTCCAGAGTTAACCCCCCCCCCCCCTTCTAAAGTTGTTGATACACCAGGTATCGGTAAAAATCTTATCAAATCATTGGAGTAAGTGCTATCATGAAAAGAGAAGGGCGCTTCGTTGTGTGGTATAAAAGAATGCTTCTTGTTTGCAAAATAAATGTTTAACGAAAGAAAAACTTTTTGATGAATAGATATGGACCATACAGAAATACAGAATAAAAACGCTAAGGATAACTTTTTAAAGGAACTCTCTTCACACTTTTTTATTTTACTATTTTGGCAAGTTTGCTCCATTTATAGGGTACATGTACTGGTATTATCTTGATTTATAAATTAAAAACCACAAAGAAAGATTGACAATGTCCGTGAAAATTTTCGAGCAACCCTGGTTTAAATGCAGATCACACAATAACAAAAACACATGAAACGAATTTAGGGTTTTAATAATACACAAGTTTACATAAATAAAGTGTAACATTAAAATATTGTAACTTTCAAATACGAATAATTAAAAAACCTAACAATTAGTTAGATAATAAAAAATGGGAAAGATGACACAAATATGAAGACATTTTTGGTATATGAAAATATCGATCGGAAATATTAATAATGGGAAGACAATTGACACCAAAATAATCACCCAGTGACAAGTAGAATTGCACAAATGGTTCAATATTGATTAAAATTTCTAAATTTGTTAAACAATGCATATACATTGAACAACATAAAAAACACATAAACTACATGTAAACATTTATGTACATTGAAATACAGTGAACAGCTAACACAAAGCTCCCATTCACAAATCTAGCTACTCAAATACATGTATATCGAAATTATTAAAATAAGTGTTAATAGCTTGGATGAGAAATATGCTTTGAAGTTTACCAGCTATATCAAATAACATGAATCCACATAAGACATTATTTTAGCCCAATTACCCTGTAGTAAATAATTCCCAGTTTTATTCATTGAGACACGGTAATGTTCATTCTATATACGACATAATATTAAATAAAACATTAAAACTTTCTAAAAATAACCCTTCAGCGATTTACAATAGGGTAATTATAAAATGTACGCTCATCAATTGAAAATAATACTTTTGTTCATTCTTTACTTCATATAATATAATTAAAGGTACTTGGACACAGATTCAAAGTTAATTTTTCTGTATAATATCACGAATTATATATTTTAATAGCATTTCACACAAAAATTAATTAAAAATCTTGTTTCATTTAAAAGTTATTAAAACTTTTGATTTTTTGGCTTGTTTGATTGACACGTCCTTTCACAAATTTTAACTTATTCTTAATCTATAGGAAAAGTGGCATTCTTGTTGTGTATTAATGAGAAATATTAAAACTTAAATCCAGAAAAATAATTTTATTCAGAGTAGAAATGTTAGAAATCAAAACTCCTTCACAAGTATCGTCATTCTGTTTTGTACAAAGTTTAGCAAATCGAGTACACTCGTGTTATGTACAAAGTTTTTGTGAACACGGCAAAAGCTGTTATTGTTTTGGTGTTTTGGTTCACCGGGTGCGTTCAATCGCCAAACTCTGCTCACCACAACTGCACAGACTGACAATATACCCGGTATTCTGTGTCTGTTTTGCTTTCGAACATGTCTACACTGAATTTTCTGGATTATAGTATTAATATTTTTCATTAATACACAACAAGACTGCCAATTTTCCTAAGGATTAAGAATAAAGTTAAAATTTGTGAAAGTGCAAGGATGTGTCAATCAAACCAGACAAAAAAATTAAAATTTTAATAACTTTTAAATGAATTAAGATTTTTAATAAACTTTTAAAGGAAATGCTATTACAATATATATGTCGTAATATCATAGGAAAAATATTAACTTCAAATCTGTGTCCAAGTACCTTTAATAAAATACTTGAACCCTAATAAAAAAAATACGCTTCAATGTTTTACAATAGGGTAATGGTAATATGTACGCTCATAGTAATTAAGACCGGCTTTATACTGGAGGTATATTGATTTCTTTATTTTTTTTTCCCTACACAGAGTATCGTCTCACGTGTTTCTTCACCTCCTTGATCACTCTCATGTAATTAAACAAAACACCTCTTTTCAACTCATACTTACTGCACTCACTCAGCAGTCGTCGTATCCTCTCTAGAACAGACACCCCCTCTTTGTCTAACACAGAATCATACTCGCTGTACCTCACCCTGACATTGATATCCACCCCCGCCTCCAGGAGAAACCTCACCTTATTTACTAATCTTCTTTTATAATATAAATCCTCATCAATCAGTGTAAACAGCAGAGGTCTTACATCAGTCTCATAATTATAATAACAATCATCATGATGATAGTGCTCAATCCACTGATTGACATCCAGACCCACACTTAACAGATGCTTTAAATCCTTACAATCACTTTCTATGATTGCCTCATATAAATCTCCCCATATCTTCATACGCCACACTCGTCTCCGTGTCACCACCACGTCATCCTTACTATCAGTCATCACGTCACTGTGTCTTATGTTTACCAAACACTCAAACAAATGTAACTTCAAATTATTTAACTGACTTTCATTCTCTGTTCTTAATAATTGTTTTACAGAACCAATCTCATTCCTAATTAATGCAATATAGAATGTTGAAATACCTTCTTTATTACAGATAATTGAGTCGGCACCATAGATATCAAATATTTTAAGTAAAACAGGGATGGCAGTTTTATTTATGTTTACAAAAGCTTTATAGAGAGGAGTATTTCCTTCCTCATCCTGCATATTAACATCACTTCCTGCGTCTAGCAGCTTTTTAGCGATATTTATATAACCATTCTTACATGCGGCCGTCAGTGGTGTATCATAATCACCATGTAGATTGACCTCGGCCCCTGCCTTCAGCAGCTCTATTACAACACTTAAATGTCCCTTTTTACATGCGGCCGTCAATGGTGTATGACACTCTCCTTGTAGATTAACATCAGCCCCTGCCTTCATCAGTTCTATCACAATACTTGTATGTCCCTTTTTACATGCTAGTGTCATTGGTGTATTATAATCATCCTTTCTATGTAGATTGACCTCAGCCTCTGTCTTCAGGAGCTCTATCACAATACTTGTATGTCCCTTATCACATGCAGCCGTCAGTGGTGTATAATACTTTCCTTGTATATTAACATTTGCCCCTGCTTTCAGTAGCTCTATCACAATACTTGTATGTCCACTATTACATGCTTGTGTCAGCGCTGTACCACAATCATCCTTCCCTTGTAGATTAACACCAGCCCCTGCCTTTAACAGCTCCACCACAATACTCATATGTCCACCCCTACATGCAGCCATCAGTGGTGTATAATACTTTCCTTGTATATTAACATCAGCCCCTGCTTTCAGTAGCTCTGTCACAATACTTGTATGTCCACTATAACATGCTTGTGTCAGCGCTGTATCACAATCATCCTTCCCTTGTAGATTAACACCAGCCCCTGCCTTTAACAGCTCCATCACAATACTCATATGTCCACCCCTACATGCAGCCATCAGTGGTGTATAATACTTCCCTTGTAGATTAACATCAGCTCCTTTCTGTATTAACCCCTTCACTACACCCACATTTTCATACTGACATGCTACTGTCAGTGGTGTATCAAATCCATCGTGTCTATTTACATCAACCCCTGCGTTCAACAACTCAATCACAATATTCATATGTCCACTATCGTATGCTGCTTTCAGTGGTGTTTTATGCTTACCCTTTAGATTTACGTCAGCCCCTGCACTTAGTAGCTCCTTTATTATACATATACATCCACCCTCAATTGCTGCTATTAGTGGTGTTAAATATTCATCTTGTAGATAAACATCAGCGCCTGCCTTAAGCAGAGTTTTAACTCCACTCATATATCCACCACCACATACTAATGTTAGTGGTGTATAAAATTTATGAAATGGCTCTACGAACACCTTCTCTACACCCACTCTCATTGATTTATAATAATTACCATGTAAATTGACATCAGCTCCTGCTTTTACCAGCTCTTCAACAACGTCTTCATGTCCACCCCAACATGCCGCTACTAGTGATGTACAAGATTTAACTTGTAGATTGACATCAGCTCCTGCCTTTAACAGCTTCATCACTATACTCATATGTCCACCATAACAAGCCGCTATCAGGGGTGTTTCATCTTTACTTTGTAGATTAACATCAGCCCCTGCAACTAGCAACTCTTTCACAAAACGCTCATGCCCACCTACACAAGCTGCTATCAGTGGTGTATTAAACTTATCTTGTGGATTAACATCGGCCCCTGCCCTAAGCAGCTCCTTAGCTATAATCAGATTTCCACCTCTAATTGCTACAAATAAAGGTGTATCTATTTTACCGTGTGGATTGACGTCAGCACCTTCCTCCAGGAGTTCCTTCACTAAATTTAGATGTCCACCCTTAAATGCAGCCGTCAGTGGTGTATCATACTTTCCTTGTTGATTAACATCAGCCCCTGCCCCGAGCAGCTCCTTCACTTCACTCATATATCCACCCTTACATGCTGCTGTCAGTGGTGTATCAAACGCACCTTGTTGATTGATATCAGCTCCAGCTTCTATAAGCTTCCTCACTACACTCATGTATCTACCCTTACATGCTGCTGTCAGTGGTGTATCAAACGCACCTTGTTGATTGATATCAGCTCCAGCTTCTATAAGCTCCTTCACTACACTCATGTATCTACCCTGACATGCTGCTGTCAGTGGTGTATCAAACGCACCTTGTTGATTGATATCAGCTCCGGCTTCTATAAGCTCCTTCACTACACTCATATATCCACCCTCACATGCTGCTATCAGTGGTGTATCATAGTTACCTTTAGGATTGATATCAGCTCCAGCTTCTATAAGCTCCTTCACTAAATTCGTATGTCCACCCTCACAAGCTACTGTCAGTGGTTTATTATAGTCACCCTGTGGGTTGACATCAGCCCCTACCTCTACTAACTCCTTCACTACACTCAGATGTCCACGCTCACATGCAACTGTAAGTGCTTCGTCACCCAACACAGATTCAAAATCTAAATCTGGAAAGGTCATATAAATTGTATTTCTTTTCATATTTTTAATAAATATTCTAACAGTTTCTATATCTCCATTGTAACAACTCAGCTGAAGTAAGCGTTTTTGTTCATGTATGGATCCATCAATGTCCAGGTCTCTGAATGACCATAAATTTTCCGGATTATTTGCTACAGTACAATTTTCCCCTTGTTTTGTCGGATTAAGTAAAGCAAGTTCAAAAGAATTTAAAAAAAATTCAGACTGCGTTTCTTTGTGATACTCAGTTTGTTCTAAAATATAATGCAAAATCATTTTGTGTCCGAAGAAAATCACCCAACTGATAACCCTAGAACTGAATTTTTTTTCTCTATCCCCCTTCTCACTCTCCTCCCTCACACGCTTTCCTTTTCTCACTACCTTAGACGCATCTTTCTGCACTGACAGAAATAAAGACTTCAACTCTGTGTAGGACTTTGTCTCTAACACCTCAATAAAAGCCTGACAAACACTGGGGTGTTTTAAAATATTATTCATAAAAACATCAAACAGCTCCATATTTTCTATATCCCTGTATAAACGCTCTGCTAACATAGAGTACTGACCCTCCCCTATCCTTATACAGAGATCAAATGACTCCATTCTATCATTGTTTTCAGCACTTAATGCCTCTTTCTCCCCTTTTTGTGAGCTTTCACAAGCCATGTTTTTTTCATTTTTACTCTTACTCTCGATTGAAACTTTTTCACTTGCTTGCTTGTGTTCATTCTCTAATTTAAGCATTTCATGTTTTTGAAGCTTTACATAGTTAGCAATGTAACTACTACTCATGAATTGTAAAATGAGATCTGGAAATTTAGAACCAAAATGATAAGCAATGATTTCAAACATTGAGTCATGAATAAATGTATATTCAGAGCCACAGAGTTTTGTGTATGTCCCCTCCATTACTGACAATGCTTTAACAAATTTAAATGGATCCATGTTACTTTCGACTTCACAACTCTCTAATGCTTTTGATTTCATTTCATAGAAAACCTTATTTTCTTTGTCTTTTAAAATTTCTTTTGATAATTTGTTGTCATTTAAGAGGCATAAGACCAACGTAGCATACTGTAATCTATTTTGTTTTTGCATTTTATCTAATTCTTCTAAAATGTATCTAGCTGGACAGGTAAAAAACCTTTCAACATTGTTTCTAAATTTCTCCTCTTTTGAGTAAAGTTTACATAATAGAGGAAACATAGTCGATGTTTCCCTCAGTAATGTAGGAGACAACAAATCTTTATCCAAGCCGTGTGTCTGAAGAATGGCTTTTTTGTCATCATCATTCAATGAATTTTCTGGACTACACATTTTGATTACGTTTTCCTCATTTATGAAAAATGATTTGTAACATTCATTAAAAACTGCTTCCCTGCATGACATCAGTACCTTTGTACGTTTGGAGGGATCTGAAATAATTTTTTCATAGTCAACTAAAGTCTCTAACTTTTGCTTTTGAAGACCCAACACACCTACCACATCATCTATGACAAATACCTGAGGATTATGGGAGTCACAATAACGGTAAATCTCATTGATGTCTTTAACTGGTACAACCTCGTAATCTTCCTTCTGGAGTATCAGGGCTATGTGATGAATCGTTGCTGATTTTCCGGACCCTGGGACTCCAACAAATGTCATATAAGGTTGTTTCCTGACTTTGTTCAGCATTTCCTGGAAAGTGTGAGTTTCACTGTAAACCTCATCTTCTTCTCTCCATTGTAGTAATTGTTTTTCATGAAGATCTAAAATACATTATATCAGACTTGAATGATACAAGTGAATTAAAAGCAAATGGATACCCTCCAGTAGACGAAAAGGTCCATGTACATTCATGGTAATTTGGAAATTTTGTACTTTTACACAAATTAAAATATATATTAAAATAAAACATATACCCATTATTGGAAATCTACAAATACTTGAATATGCAAAAATAAAAAAAAATATTTTGAGAGAGAGAGAGTTGTTCTCTAAATTTGCAATATAATGTTCATGTTATATTATTCATGTGTTGGTTTTATATAATTTGATGAATACTATGTCACTGTAAAGCATCACGTTGTTATAGTGATATTCAAGTGGTGTGATGTATTTTAAAAATTGTTTCTTGTTTTTTATTTAAGATTGTTGTATTTTATGTAACATTATTATGTTGTTGTAAAGTAGCTCTTTAGAGCAAATGTTTTTGTTGGGATAACCGACTTTAAATATGTGTCATATTATCTTATCTTGTTTCATATTTATTTGATATACAATTTTTAAATACCATTTTCTAAAAACTCTTATTCTAAATTCATGGTTCTTTTTGTGTAATGCATATATAAAATTGATCACTGTTTGTTTTCTCAACCTCTAAGTTATAGCAAAGGACAAGATAGAGTAACAGCCGAATCTGACCCCTTATTTGATATAAAAATCAGAACAGTGGTAAAATTGTGATAGTTTGTAGTTAATTAAGAAGTTAAAATGATGCTAATTTTAAGACAATCACTAATTTTGATTCAAAGCTTACATGGAAGCCACTAGAGGGTGCAGAAATAGGACATTTTCCCGAATTTTCTCGACCTCATTGTGACCCCTGTATATTCTTAATCTTAAAACCAACACTCATTTTGTGGCAGGGGTGAAAACAGGTTTTCACGTCATAAGTACTTGTGTCGGAATGATATTGAAATAACAGAACAAAGCTTTCTTGTCAAAAATTAAATTGAGAAATTAAATTACTGTAGAATCTAGATTGAACATGAATATTTTGCAATCAATATACAATCAGTTTCATGAACAAGCTCAAAATTATTGTAAAATAAGCAGTGGGACTCTGAAAGGACAAGATAGAATAAGACCAGTATTTGGTCCCCAATTTTGGGTGTCTTTCAGAATGATCCAACAGTGTATTGTTATATATGGAGGTGATGTTTGTGTATTGTTATATATGTAGGTGATGAGGGTGTATTGTTATATATGGAGGTAATGTGGGTGTATTGTTATATGTGTAGGTGATGAGGGTGTATTGTTATTCATGTAGATGATGAGGGTGTATTGTTATATATGTAGATGATGAGGGTGTATTGTTATATATGTAGTATTTTATGTAGATGATGAGGGTGTATTGTTTTATATGTAGGTGATGAGGCAGTTTTATTATATATGGAGGTGATGTTTGTGTATTGTTATATATGTAGGTGATGAGGGGGTATCGTTATATATGGAGGTGATGTGGGTGTATTGTTATATGTGTAGGTGATGAGGGTGTATTGTTATATATGTAGATGATGAGGGTGTATTGTTATATATGTAGGTGATGAGGGTGTATTGTTATATATGTAGGTGATTGTTATATATGTAGATTATGAGGGTGTATTGTTATATATGTAGATGATGAGGGTGTATTGTTATATATGTAGATGATGAGGTTGTATTGTTATATATGTAGGTGATGAGGGTGTTTTGTTATATATGGAGGTGATGTTTGTGTATTGTTATATATGTAGGTGATGAGGGTGTATTGTTATATATGTAGGTGATGAGGGTGTTTTGTTATATATGTAGGCGATGTTTGTGTATTGTTATATATGTAGATGATGAGGGT